CGTCACCACCGCGAAGTTTCGTATGCTCCAGGTTCTCTCGTACTCTTGTGGACCCCATGTCGTCACATCGGCCTCTCAGAAAAACTTTTATTTCGCTATGACGGACCATACAAAGTCCTTCGCAAGATCACCAACCTCACCTACGAGATACAGCGAGTCGCCGACGAAGCGCACTCAATGCCACCACCATCCACTGTTGTGCACGTCGTCAGACTGAAGCCTTATGTGTCACCCAACACTCCCCTTTCGTGACAAGCGCCGGGTCGGCGCTTTAACGCCGCGGGGTAGTGCCACAAGGCAGTAGTGGGATTGGGGCATAAAGCGGTAGAGGGTCCCTGGCTGAAAGAAAAAACTACGAAGTGGATAGAGACTGGTTCCAGCCCGCCAGTGCGCCAGGCATTGTCATCGCGTGTAATCGTTGTAAATATCTGTAAATATACGTTTTCTTGTAAGAATATCTATAACATTGCCGACATTGTTCGTGTTCTAGTTGCCACATTACGTTTTCACCTAGCGACAATGCCAGTAGGTACTACGAAGAGCATGCTGCAGGCCATGCTCCTGCTAGAATCACTGAGATTTAGTTGTTTCGGGCACAATCAACAGTAAAATGTCGAGTGCAAAGCTTTAGTGCACGTTAGGTCACCAAAAATCGCCGTTTATAATGCAGTGAAATTGGGCCCGTACTGGTCCTCGCAAGGATGAACTAAAGTTCTTTTGACAGAATATCAAATTCCAATATTGGCTCTATGTCAGAAGCTGGATTACCAAGACAGAGATCAATCACTAGATACGTCACTCACAAGAACCCCACCATAACGACTTTTCTAAATCGAAGTGCCGCTTTGTATGTACGAAGAGAGATACCAAGCGTAGCATTCAATCTGGCGGACTTGTGCCCAGATGTTATAGACGATTGTGCAATCAAGGCACCGATAGAAAACCACGAAGTCAGCATTGCATCTGTGTATGCGTCTCCTCCCAAAAAATTTTCATCGAAAAGTTTTTAGAATTGCTGTGTCATCGTTGCCAGCTTCGCGCGTGACATGTGGTGATTTTAATGCGCATAACACGTCACGGGGGGACAAGAGTTCGGGTGCACGTGGACGTTGTCAGGAAAGTGCTATTGATTAGCTATACTAATGCTTTGTGAATGATGGTAATGTTCTTTAGGCCCCCAGCTTGCACAAGTTTTATTGCCATGACTATGCATTCGAGTGACGTTCAGCTCACGTGTTGCACAGTTCCAGACAGAATGAGAAGTGATTATTAGAAGAAAAGCAGTTCATATTATTTGCATTTAAAACAAACATGCTGCTCGCGGTAAGTTGGTTGGTTTTAGTAAGGCTTTTGACAACGTTCAGCATTCCACGTTGTTTGAAAAGTTACAATGCTATGGAATTCGTGGTCATGCACTAGACCTAATAAAAAGTTATTCTAAATACCACAAAGCGGTGGTTGGAACAGATATAAAGTTCTCAGAACTGAAGCATATTACTAAGGGTGTACTTTAGGGAAGCATACATGGACCCCTTCTTTTTATAGCTACATAAATGATTTATTTCGTAATTATCAAGATGCTGAATACGTCTTATGCCGATGAGGTCAACACATTCACTTCAGCTGAAGATAGTGTAACGCTTAAGGAAAAAATGAACCAGTTTTTTGCGAACCTAAAGCTCTGGTCATGATTTAAAAATGCAAACATAAACATTAGTAAAACAAAGTCGGTACTATTCCGATCTAAAAGTAGGCCTGGTAAAAAAAACCCGCACCTTTGTTACGGCGACACTTATATTGAAGCTCGCAAATCATGTAAACATTCTTAAAATTACACTTTCCAGCAATACGCTTTAGTACGAACACATTGACAGTGCGCTGGGTCAGTTATCTCGTGTCGTGGGTATGGTCTACAGTGGCAAGACGGTTCTACCACACAAGGTAAAACTCAAACTTTATAAATCACTTTTCTGTTCACATCTTATATACTGTTTCTCGGTATTTGATACTGTAATTGACACGAATTTGCAAAAAAACTGCACATGATGCAAATGAAGTATGATGCAAAAGAATATTTACCCTGTCGCATGATGCTCACACAAGCGAATTGTTTCAACAGACTGGAATACTACCCATGCATCGTCTCTACGATTTTAAGATAGCAATGGCGATCAGGCGGGAATTGATAGAAAGTCCACATTTTTTCTACGACCTTTCAAAACTGCAGCAAAATACTACATTGTTGGAAACACAACATAAAGAAACACAGAAAATAAAAACTATCAAACTACTGCACAGATAAGTTATCCTACATAGTTCCTACATTGCTTAATAAATATGTGAAGGCTGCATTAATTTCTTACACTGTACACAGACTCAACTGCATGATATACTCATCTTTAATTTTAATATTTCTTTTCAGTTGCTATGTTGTTATCAATGCTATTTTTACTTCTGAAGTTTGGACTTGATTTCTTGTCTTGCTTTTTTTGAATACATATGCCACTGCTATCGTGCTAAAAGGTGGCTGTGGGCCTTTATCAACCTGTCTCTTTCGAAGAGCAGCTTTTACCTGCAGCTGTCCGTCATGAAGTTATAAATAAAATGAAGTATATTATATTATTATTACTATTATTACTATTATTATTATTATTATTATCAATATTATTATTATTGCATTGTTATTATTGCATTGTTATTAGTACACTTATGAGTGCTGCTGGATTTCGTATGAAGGTAGCTAAATCCTGCGAAGTAACTAATTTTTATCGCTACCGAAAAAATCTAGATCACCAATCAGGGACATATTTCAACATAAGCTTGCGAGCAGGCAGCTGCGACCGCCACACTTAAGCTACCAGCACATTTTCCAGCTCCGTACCTAAAACTTCGTAATTTGTGTGCTGCTAGAGGCGCAGAGAAAAGGCTTATGCGAATAGTTGGTGAACCAGTTAACAAAACTCAGTTCAATAGATGTAACGCAGCAATACGGCGATACACCAAAAAAGCTTCGCAGGAAACAATAGGCAGCGTTTTATGAGAGTTTGGGTGTACTTACTCCCCTTTCAAGAGCCTGGAGAGTTGTAAATAGTGCCGGAAGCAAGGCCCAGCATTTGAGACCGTTTATTGCTCTCGCGCTATTCAAGAATATATGAATGCCACCTTTAGCCGAAGAGTTTGCTGACGTCTTTGTAATTGGAAGAGACAGTGAACCACACTATTCCCTTCCGCTTTGTTGTGCTTCTGCCATCGACGCATCTTTCACGCACCGGGAACTCACGTCAGTAATAAGTTATCTTCGTCGAATCTGTGCTTTCGGACCTGATGGAATCACAAACAAAACGTATTTATGTCTGCCTGCAGAAGTGAAGAGTTGAAGGCTTCTGGTGTATTTGAACTATATGTGGCAGTCGCGAGACATTCGCCAGACCTGGAAAATGGCAAGGGCCATGTCAGTTCTGAAGCCACTTAAAGACAGGACCGAACTGGCATAGCGTTCACTATCGCTAACTTGGTGCGAGGCGAAGATGAAAGAGAAGCTAGCCTGTGTTTGGCTTACATGGTGAGTGGATAGTCAAAGGGCTCTTCCAGCATGTATGACTGGGTTCCGACAACGGTTGTGTGTTCAAGACATCATCTTGAACTTAGTGAGACACATAGAACACCAACGCGCATAAGTTTTTCAAAGTTGGCAATATTTCTGGACATTTTAAAAGCGTTTGACTACATGTTCAAAGGTGCAATACTTTCTAGTCTTGTGTCTATAGGCATAACAGGGCACTTTTTACGCTTTGTTCATGCGTTTGTTAGTAATCGCTCGATGCAAGTCAAGTTGAGGATAGTGCTCAGTGGCTCAAGAAAAATCACCATAGCAGTGCCACAGGGCAGCGTCCCGTCTCCAATGTTGTTCATTGTGGCCATGGGTGGTTTACCTAATGCTGGCAAGACGGTGAGCAAGGCAGTTCACGTATCAATTTATGCCAATTACGTGCGATTCAGGCTGTCTTAACATCAGTATAAGCGATTCGAAATGATCGGCCAAACAGTTATCTCTCCCCGCACAGCTATCTTGAATCTATTTTACTAACAATATGAGCAGAAAAGCCTCAATTCATGCTGTTCCAAGCTGTACAAGGGGACGAGAAACAAGGGTGAAAATATTATTTTCTGATGCACCGATTCATCAAGATATATACGTGAGATTTTTTGGAGTCACACTAGACTCCAGGATGAATTGGCGACATGCAGTAGACAAGACGATGCCTGCGCTGCCAGCCCGTGTAAACTTCTTCGAAGGTTGGCGGGAACAAGCTAGGGGAGCCACCCAACACTAATGATAAGGGTATACGCGGCAGTAATTTTCATTAGTGTGCGCTTCCTATTGCCTCTGATCCCTCCAAGTGAGTCACAGTGTGAACGACCGGGAACAATTTATTGCAACGCCATAAGAGTTGCTATTGGAGTGCCAAAGCTTGCAGCGAGCACAAAACGTGCTTCATGGAACTCGTCTTCCACCGTCATGTCTTCTCGCGTTTCAACGATTGCTGACACAGCTTTGCCGATTTAGCGAATCAAGCTCAGGACGAGCACTACTCAGTCGCCTTCTGTGATGCATGGAATCACGAACTTTAGTTGCCCTCAACACTCTTCGCCATCATGGAATGGAATTCCTCAAACAAAGACAACTTCGACCAGACCCACTTTGGCCACATGAGGATGTCGACTGTCAGGTAAAGATTACACGGTTGCACAGGAAGGGCTCTACACCCACAGTAGAAGTACGTGCTTTGTAACTTTAATACATAGAAGAAAAGTACGCCGATCATTTGAAAGTCTTCACTGAAAAATTGGTCGACATAAGTGCAGACCAAACGCTGCAGCGTTTGTGATCCCGTCTCTAAAGGTGTCCTGGGCAGCGCGACTCGAGTGAACCAATATGGCGCGCGCAAAACCAGTGTCTCCACCCTGTTCAGGAAGAGTGCATAGAGACTTACTCGGCAGCAGTGGCGACGTGCTGTTATGGCCCGGTGCTGAATGATTTCTTCGTGTTTACAGGATTACCTGCATCACTACTGACGCGCAACGCAACATATCAAGAGACCGGAACCACACTTCTGGAAACTACCGAGAAGATTACACCAATCAACGTGACCCCTACGTCACCACGAAACGCCTACAAAAGGAGCCTGACATCGATGGAACAGACCACACTTACTCGGCAGCAGTGGCGACGTGCTGTTATGGCCCGGTGCTGAATGATTTCTTCGTGTTTACAGGATTACCTGCATCACTACTGACGCGCAACGCAACATATCAAGAGACCGGAACCACACTTCTGGAAACTACCGAGAAGATTACACCAATCAACGTGACCCCTACGTCACCATGAAATGCCTACAAAAGGAGCCTGACATCGATGGAACAGACCACACTTACTCGGCAGCAGTGGCGACGTGCTGTTATGGCCCGGTGCTGAATGATTTCTTCGTGTTTACAGGTTAGTTTATTCTTTGTATACCTAGTGCTCATTAAGCCCGTGGTTGCCGCTGCTGCTGAGTAACTCGCCTCTTGAGTGTCTCTTGTGTCGTGAGCTTGTGTTAGCACGCACAATGCCAGAAACTTGTCTTGCCTGCCATAAATCATTTCATGGCGAAGAGCAGTACTTATTATGCTGCGAATGCAACTCTCATTACCATGTTGGAAATTGTTCCGGGGTATCACTATCCGCGTATCGAAAAAAGACAGACGCCACAATAAAAACCTGGAAATGCGCTACGTGCAAAACCACAAAGCCTCGAGGAAGTCATAACACAACAAATTTCAACGACGAAACTGAAGTGGACCTTTCTCGTGAAATCAACGAAATACACCGCAAACTTGCTGTGCTTATTGAAATGAAAGTGAAAGTAGACGCACTAGATGAAATTAAGGCAACTGTTGACAGCGTCGAACAAGCAGTGCAGGAGATGGCTAAGAAATACGATGAGGTCATTTCGCAGATGAAACAGCAGAATGCCGATATTACAGGACTAAAAAAACGCGTGGAAAAACTTGAGGTCAAAGTGAACGATTTCGAAATCGGAAAGCTGAAACAAGAGCTTAATGACTTGGATCAGTACAGCCGACGACTAAATTTAGAAATACACGGTATGCCCTATCATACAGGAGAGAATTTGCTTGACAAACTTAATAGGCTAGCAGATGACCTTGACGTCCCACATCTTTCTGACCAGGATGTGGAAGCCGTTCATCGACTGCCACCCAAGAGAAAAACTGATAATGCAAGCAAAACAGAGACGGTTCCGCCCATTTTGGTTCGGTTTTTTTCGCGAAAGATTAGGGACAGTTGGCTAGCGAAGAAAAGTGAACTGAGGAAAACTAAATCAAAAATATTTCTAAATGAAAACCTAACAGCGCAAAACAAACAGCTTTTCTGGAGGATGAAAACAAGAGCAGTTGAACGAGAATATCAGTTTGTGTGGCATAAGAGTGGTAAATTGTTTGTTCGCCGTAGCCCACGCGATCGTGTAATTCGGATTATCACGATGGATGACCTCGAAAAGATAAAATAGGGCTCTCATGCATGCTGCTTGTCATTGCACGTGACGTATAAAAATGGCAAGGTTCAATAAATATTATGATAAGGACGCTTTTAAGGCTTCCGCCGCATCATGCTCTAGAAACGATTTGTCTATTCTGCATTTAAATGCGCAAAGCTTGAAAAGTAAGGAAGAACGCGTTTGCATGCTTCTTGATGATTTTAAATACAACTTTGACATTTTAGCCTTTTCTGAAACATGGTTCACCGATGAATATGAGGTACAATTCCCAGGTTACAGATGTACAACCGTATCCAGAAAAGAAAAGCGAGGAGGCGGGGTAGCATTTTATATCAAAAACGATTTGCATTTCGAAACTGTGACAGAGTTTTCAGTCGTAAACCCACACTACGAATCCCTCATGATGAAGTGCTACCATACTGCAATTGTGGTAATTTATAGACCGCCCTCTGGTGCCATAGATGCCTTTTTTTAACTTTTTAGAACGTATGTTGAATTTTTGTTCCGAACTCGGTCTGACTATTGTTACGACGGGTGACTTCAACATCAATATGCTGTCTCTAGAACGCAACAAACAAGTTCTTCTTGATCTATTTCTCTCTTACGGCCTAGAAAATGTAATTGATGTACCGACAAGAGTAACAGATGTCTCCGAAACTCTAATTGATCTATGCTTTATCCCACAAACGAATGTCATAGAAGCAGGTGTCTTGATATCTGATGTCAGTGATCACATGCCAATTTTTGTTTTCTTCAACCCTCATACAAAAACACATAGAATGCGTGCCAATAAAGCTTTTAAACTTAGAAAGATTAACAAAAGCAATGTTGCTGCTTTTCAAACGGCTGTTAGTGAAACCTCATGGTCTTATCTGTATCAGTTAACGGATCCTGTCATTGCTTATAATTATTTTATCAATCACCTTAAAAAACTTTATGATGAAGCATTTCCTGTAACTACTATCAAACAAAACAAGAAATGTAGGAAACCTTGGATTACCACGGTGCTTCTAAGGAGAATGAAGGAACGAGACAGACTTTTTAGTCAATTCATTAAAACTAGACAACCTAATCTCCTAACTGTTTATAAGAAAATTAGAAACAAACTAGGGCGTGATATCAAAGAAGCAAGAAATTGTTATTACGAAAGAAAGTTCGAAATCATTCTAAATGACCCCAAACGTGTGTGGCAAACATTAAAAGGCCTACTGCCGCAAAAAGAGCCACTCAGCGTCTCTGAAATTGTAGACAGCGATATAACTTATACCGGTATATCTTTGGCTAATAAGTTTAATGAACACTTTTTAAAATGTGGAGCATCGGTAAGTGATAACTGTGACAGGCATAATTACAGGTCATACATTATGCATAACTCCTTGAATTCTCTTTTCATGGAGCCAACAACAGAACATGAAATTAAAACCCAAATACTAAAGTTAAAGAATGCATCCGCATGTGGCCAGGACAAGATAAAAGCCGAGCCGATAAAAGCAGTTGTCAACAGTATCAGCAATCCTTTATCGCACATATGCAACCTCATTTTGGCTACAGGCGTGTTCCCTGATAAACTAAAAATCGCTAGAGTAACAGTTATATTTAAGGGAGGCGATAGAAATGACATGAACAACTACAGACCAATCTCGGTACTACCACTGTTTTCAAAAGTTTTCGAACAAATGAATAATGTAAGAATTATGAATTTCTGCACTAAAAATGATGTACTTACAGGCAATCAATACGGCTTTCAGAAAAAGAAGTCAAGTGAAATGGCTCTTTTAAGTATCAAAGAAAATATAATTCAGAATTTTGAAGACAAAAAGTATACTCTAGGGATATTTCTTGATTTTAAAAAGGCATTTGACTCTATTAAGCATGATATCTTATTAAAAAAGTTAAGCGAATATGGCGTTAGGGGACTTGCTCTTGACCTTATACGCAGTTATTTGACAAACCGCTACCAATACACAGACACCAATCATTCAAAATCAGTTTTAGGTGAAATTAAATACGGTGTTCCTCAGGGTTCCATCCTTGGACCACTTCTTTTTTTATTATATATAAATGATATAGGTAATATTCCGTTCACGCCAGATATAATTCTTTACGCCGATGACACGAATGTATTTTTTTCAGGAGAGAACCTACATATTCTTCAGTTGCAAGCTAGCAAATGGCTCAATAATTTATCTGAGTGGCTTATTGTAAATAAACTAGAACTAAATACCAAAAAAACTAAATATATAATTTTTCGCTGCCGAAATAAGTCAATCAGGAATGACGTACATTTGAAATTCCGTGGCGAGATCATCGAGCGTGTAAGAATACATAAATTTCTCGGTGTTCTTTTCGAAGAAAATCTCAGCTGGTCTCCTCATGTCGATAACCTCACAAGACGCATCTCACGTTCAATAGGTATTATCAGCAGAGCAAAGCAACTTTTGCCACGTTGGTTAAAACTCCAGCTATATTACGCACTAATTCATTCCCATTTACAATACTGCCTCCTTGTGTGGGGAACAACAACAAAAACAAATCTTAAAAAGCTGTATATCCTACAAAAACGTATTGTGCGAGTTATTGAAAATGTGCCATATATAACTCACTCCGCTCCACTTTTTAAAGCGAACACTATATTAACAATGCAACACATACTGAAAAAGAAGCTAGGCATTACAATATTTCAGAAAATAAAGTTATGCCACGATAGTTTTTTTCGACAATTTCTGGGAAAAGGACACGCTTACGAAACCAGAAAAACTAGGTATGTTAAAGGTTTTACACGAACTAACTATGGTATGCAAAAACAATCTTACGTTATAGCAGACTTTTTAAATCATCATCCTACCGTGATAAACTTGGTACAAGAAACGATGCACATGAAATGCTTCAAAAGAAAGTTAACTGCATATCTCCTATCAATACAAGAATAATTCTGTTTTCTTTTTTTCTATTTTTTTTTACCTTGCTGCAGTTTATACTGTATATGTATATAGAAAATCTTTCTGTTTCTTATGTATATAGAACAATGTATATATGTAGAAAATCCTGTATATGTTTGGCCAAAATATGTATACTATATGTAACCTTGTGTATTTTGCTTAGATAACTGCCACTGATGTTTGAGTTGTGTGTGTCTAAAAAGGGGTGTGACACCCAGTCAGTCATTCGTGCCTTTTTGTCACTCCTCCTAGGCAGGGCAAATGTACATATTACTTGTCTTTGTCTGAAATAAATACGAAATACGAGAAATACGAGGTAACCTAGCTACACCCTAACCTTTAGAGTACGCGCGCCCAACGCGCGTCCAAGATGTGATCTCGCTACTGATGACGCAAACTCGCGGTAGTTTCCGAGCTCTGAAGACCGCCAGTGGGACCTTGTGCATATAAATGGTTTACCACGTACAAGTTGGAGAAGTTAGTTTCTAGCTTAGCTGTTAGCGTGATGTTGCTGGTTTGGCGCCCCACTGCAGTCTTTGCAGTCTTTTTTCTTTGCAGTCTGCTAGTTAATATTTTTCAACATCATATCTATGACAGAAATACGTCACTGAGCCGTGGTGAAACACTACCATAAAATACTTTCTTGTTAATAGGTTATTGGAAGAGTGCAAGGCGCTTTTCAGCGAGGACCTTGGAAGCAATTGGGCTATTCAATGCCGTAGTTGCATGTGCAAATCTTGTTAGCCAACGTTTGATAACACGATATTTTGAATACGGGAATCGCAAAATATGACGGGGAGATTTTAGAATCTTTTTCTATTGTGAATCATAAAATAGCTGCGTCATCCGACCCGGTGAATCCGGGACTAAGGGGTTCTGCTGCTCTCTCGAAGTTCACGGGTTTTATCCTAGCCATGGCAGTCCGATCTGAATGAAGGCGAAATGATAGAAGCCTTGTGCGGAGTAATGTCAGTGCACGTTGAACATCAGACAGTATA